GACCCCAGATGGCCCCAGGGGCTCCAAAATTGAGCGAAAAGCTGGGGGCACCTTGTGCCAGGGGCACTTTTAGCAACCCCCGAATCGCGCCGCAAAATGATCAGGACGGGATGCTGCTCGCTACTTTCGGCCCCTGGGGGCCCTCGCCGGGCCCCGGGACGGTCAAAAAACGGCAAGCCGGTCGTTGAAAGTATATATATGCATTTTTGGATGCCCCAGATCCCGATCTGCTTCAAGCGCCTTCCTACTTCAAGAATCGATATGCTTTTCCTGTGTTTTGTTATTCTCTGGGAGGACCTGGACCCAATCCACTACATCCGCCTTCCTACTTCATGTTTCTCCCTACTTCTTCCGACCGACGTGTCTTCAGGATGGCGAACTGGCCCCGGGGAAAGGGCCGGGACGCCGTCCTGGAAAAATCAGGGCGTCGCACGTCTGGGGAGGCCGCCCCAGGCCCCCCCCCCTGCGCTGCGAGCGAGTCACGGCGGGAGGTTTCTCGCCATATGTGCGGCCTCCGCGCCCCCGCCGGGCCTCGGGGCCGGCAAAGAGCAGCTCCCGACGGAGCACCGGTTCCCAGGTCGGGTGTCGGGGGTGGACAGCCTGACACGTCGATTAGCGAATTGGCCGCTGTCGGTTCGCGAGAGGGCGTCGCGGCCGTCATTTTTGCGGGTCCAGGTCCGTCGGTTTCTGTCCCAGGCCGTTTTCACTAAAGGGAGGTTTACTAAAGGGAGGTTTGTCCACCGCCGAGGGTGTTGCTAGAAGTGCCCCTGGCCCAAGGTGCCCTCAGGATTCTCGGGGTGGCCCAGACGGCTTCCAGAGCACCCCTGACGAGGCCCAGAGGGCCCACTGGGGCCCAGAAGTGGAGCGGAAAGCTGTGGGTAGCTTGGGCCAGGGGCACTTCCGGCAGCACCCGACCAGGGGAGGGGTTCCGACCTCTGGGGGTCGGCACGAGGATGAGAGAGAGAGGGGGTTCCGACCTCTGGGGGTTCAAACCTCTGGGGGTCGGCACGTCGCAAGGAAAGGACAAATCACGACGACGCGGGGGTCTGGGAAGAGAGAGGCCCCTCGCCAGGGTGACCTCTCTTCAGGGGCAGCGATCGGGGGGATGGGCACAGGAGGGGATGCCTCGACCCCCAATCGCCCATCCACCGCCGACTGGGGCTTGATCGCCCCACCCCGCCCAGCAACGTGCGGATTCGCCATCGGGGGCCTATCGCCGATCTATTTGCGATGCATCGCCGATCCCAGGTCGACGTTCCCCCCCCCCCATGCCTGTCCCCCCCCTTATCGTTGCCCCTCGCCTCTTCGTGTGAGCCCGCAGGGGGTCCGTCCCACTGGGGCCCCCCAGCTCTGGCGCCAGAGCTCGGCGGCGATCTCAGGGACGAGGGGCCGAGAAGGGGCGGGCCTTCGCAGAGGGCTCGGGAGCCCACCGGCCTTCCGAGAGGTGTGCTCGGCCTTGCCCGAGGACGCAGAGCACCTCGGTGAGAAGGCCGGAGGGCTTCCGAGGAGCCCCGCCGCCTGCTGAGAAGGCCTTCTCCTCCTCACTTCCCTCCCTCGCTCGCCGCCGATGAGCGCTTGGACTTCGCCCCACTGCGGCCCCTGAAGCCGCGCATCAAATGTCAATCTTGCCCAGTGCCACTCTTGCTTCCCTGAGATCCGACTCGCGAGCAAAAGTTGCAGCATCGCAAAAAAATTGCGACCAGAGCCCTAGACCCCATCTGTCTGCCGCACTTCTCGCCCGAGCGACTTGTGAGGGTCGGGGGGCCGAGATCCTGGGCGAAGACGCAATCAATCATTGACGCCGTATCTGCACGACACATCGGCTGAGGAAGCAGACCAGGGCTTCAACGCAAGGACAGTTACCAGAAAGCGTACCAGCTGGCGACTGTCTTCCACATGTGCGGGACAGAGCGAGCAGGATTGAGAGAAATCGCGATCGCCCTCCTGAGGGGCGGGGGCAGGGGGAAGAGTCGCAGCGCCCTGACTTGAGGCTACACAGACGTCCTCCGACGCTGTGTCCATCCGCAGTCCGCGGCCCCACAGGCCCCGACCCCTTCCCCAGGGGTAGCTTGTCGTCCCCCAGATCCACTCCTGGTGGCCCCGGGGCCCGATGACGGGCCCCGGAGGCCGAGGTCGAGGAAGCACGCCGGGATGGAAGAGCACGTGCAGTCGAAGAAGAACAGCAACGGCATGCACGTAAACTTTTGGCAGTGCGTGCGGATTTCTCGCATCCGCGCTGGCCCCCCCCCCACGCCGCCGCGCCTCCAGCGCCGCCCCTGGCGCGCTCCGCGTGCTAGGGAGGGGGGTCCAGCGCAGATCCAAGAAATCCGCGCGGAGCGCCAAAAGTTTATGCCTCTGCCGGTTTTTCCTTCTTCTGTACAGAACCCTCAGAGATTTGGGCAGCCTGAAAAGGCCGACGCCAGGGTTACAAGTGCCCTATGTGGCTCAGGATGACAAGGTAACTCCGCTAAGCGGGCTCCGCTCACTTAGCCCAGATCCGTACGCCTTTACTTAGGGTACGTTCAGCCCTCTTTTAAGCTGGGTTAGGCTGGACAGAACCCACCTTAGCATCCACTTGTATCCCCCTACAGTGCAGACCCATGCCAAGAACCCCCCTGCTTGCCTCCAGGGTGCCCTGGGTTTCTTAGGCTCCGATGGTTTTGCTAAGGAAAGCGTGACGTTCCCACCATGTACGTCCTGGGGTCTCCGGGTTGGGTTCCTTGTGGAAGGTTTCTTGCGGTCGGGCCCCTACTGGATCCTGTTAGCAACCCCCGCGGCGATTCAAGCAGCCTAAAGGCCGACGCCCGGCACGAGCTCCTGCGCAGCGACCGCACCGTCGCCGGGGAGCGCGCCGAGCGCATCCGCGCCGGGCTCGCCGCCGCGCGGCGCGCCGCCCAGGGCGGCGGCGGCGGCGGCGAGGCCCTGGGCCTCCTAGATGGGGTCGGAGTAGATAGGGTCGGAGGATCCCTCCTCCCTCCTCCCTTCTCCTCCCTTTTCCTCCTCCTCCCCCTCCTCCTCCTCCTTCTCCTCCTCCTCCTCCTCCTCCTCATCACCGATGCATCGGCGATGCGGCTCGATGTGGAGCCTGATTTGCTCCACGCCGACGTCGCCGACGCATCGCCGATGCATCGCCGATGCATCGCCGACGCATCGGTGGTGCTGCGGTGGTGCATCGGCGCTGCGGCGGGATCCTCCGAGCCCATCTGCCCGGACCCCAGCCGGGAGGCCTCTAGAGGCGGGCCCCGCGGAGCAGTGCCGGTCGTCTGCCGACGCCGTGTGTCTCTACGCCGGCTTCAGCGCCGGCCTGGGCGAGGCGGCCGCGCACCTCCGCAAGAGGCGCAGAGGAGAGGAAAAAGACACACGGACACGATGCGATGCGTCGTCGATGCCCAGGAAGTGATGGGGAAATAGCTGGGAAGGGGGGGGAAAGCGAAGACCCAGAACTTGTGACAAACCTTTGGGGAATCCTGGGGTTTTGTGCCTGTTTATTGGTGTGTCCCTGGGCTCCTTACGTCAGAGGCATCGGCCGGCGCGCGCCGCCCCAGGCTCCTCGCCTCGCGTGGGCTCGCGGCGGGGGGCTCTTTTCTGCTCCCAGCTTTCGGCCTCCGGGGGCCCTCGCTGGGCCTCGGGGCTGCCAAGAGAGGGGGCCCCCAAACGGGGTGGTGACCACACCGTGTGGTGAGTCGGTGGGGTTTCGGGGTCACGGCACGGTTTTGGGACTCGGGTCGTTCTCCGAGGACGTCTCGGGCGACTGGGGCCTCCAGGGTCCCAAAACCGTGTGGTGATGGACCCTGCGGTGAGGCCTTTAGGGGTTCCGAGGTCACCGCCGGGTCTGTCACCATATGGTTTCGGGACCCCCAACAAGAGAGGACTCGGGAGTGGGAAGGCGGTCCCCAGGAAGAGTGGTGCCACGGTGTGGAACGAAGAACGTGGCGTCGGGGGACCCAGATCTTGCAGTCCTTTCGCACCGGACGTTTTCGCCCGGTCTCGGGTCCCAGGACCGCCAAAGGCTGGTCCAGCACGGAAAGTGCCGCAGAATGACATGGTTTGGGGCTCTGGTGGTGATTTTCCGAGATGCTGTGTCCGCAAGGGTGGATTCGGCGTCATTCCGATATGCTAACACTATCCAGCTGCCTGCGACACACCCCGCCACTGCCTGTGCAACAGCGCAGCAGGAAGGAGGCTGCGTGTAGGGACAGCGCAATTCCGACGAGTATTCTGCATTGGTGCCAGTCGTGATGCCGACCTTGTCTTCTTCGTCCGCGCGCCGCGCGGTAGGGCGGAGGAGGAGGATGATGAGGAGGATGAGCAGGAGGAGGAGGAGGAGGAGGAGGCGGAGGAGGAGGAGGAGGAGGAGGAGGAGGAGGAGGAGGAGGAGGAGGATGAGCAGGAGGAGCAGGAGGAGCAGGAGTAGGAGCGGGCGGGAGAAGAGAGGGGGGAAATGAGGATGAGGATGAGGAGGAGAAGGCTTCTTGGACCCTTCCTGGGCCTCTTCAGGCCCTACTTGGAGCTTCCTGAAAGCTTCTTAGGGGCCGCATGGGGGCCTCACGGGGCCTCCTGGGGGCCTCTTGGGGCCTCTTCGGCCGCCTCAGGGGATTCTTGGTCTGTCTGACGCCTGGGGCCTCTCTGGGCCGCGTTAGTGCCCTCTTGGAGCGGTTCATGCCGTCTTGGGGCCCTATTTGGGAGCCCCTTGGGCGATCGTTGGGTCCTCTTGGGCCGACTGGGGGTCCTCCTGGGGGCCTAAGGCTGTCTTGGAGCTATCCTGGAGGCCTCTGGGAGGCTTCTTGGGCCGTGTTTGGCGGTCGGAAGCCCGAACAGGTGAGAACCTCAAACTCTTTCAACTTCCGGCGGACAATCAATTGTTTTGGCCTCCTCGGGCTCTCCGGGAGAGCCTCTTGGGGACCTCTTGGGCCGTCTTGGGGGCTTCTTGATCTATCTTGAGGCTGTCTTGGGAGCCTCTTGAGCCGTCTTGGGCAATCTTGGGCCATCTTGGCGTCATGTTGGCTGCCTTGAAAGCCGTCCAGGAGGCCATGAGGCTCCCAATAAGGCCTCAAGACAGATCAAGAGGCCCCCAAGACGGTTCAAGAGGTCTCCAAGGGGTCCTCCAGGAGAGCCCGAGGAAGCCAACACCATGGATTTTCTTTGGGTGAAACATTTTGAGGTTCGGACAGCCCGAGAGGCCTCCCTGGGCCGTCTCGTTGCTCTCTTAGAGCGCTTCAGGGCCGTCTTGGGGCCCTATTTGGGAGCCCCTTGGGCGATCTTCGGGTCCTCTGGGGCCGACTTGGGGCCCTCGTGGGGGCCTCTTGGGCTGTCTTGAAGCTATCTTGGAGGCTTCTTGGAAGCCTCTTGGGCCGTCTTGGGTGGTCGGAAGCCCGAACAGGCGAGAACCTCAAACTCTTTCAAACACCTATGGCAAGTCAATGGTTTTGGTCTCCTCGGGCTTGCAGGAAGGCCTCTCGGAGCTCTCTTGGGCCGTCTTGGGGGCCTCTTGGGCCGTCTTGCGTCCCTCCTGAGCTATCTTGAACCGTCTTGATGCGGTCTTGAGAGGCTTTTGAGCTGTGTCTGGGGCCATCTTGAGACGTTGCGTTGTCGTCTTGGCTGTCTTGGATGCCGACTTGGAAGCCGTCTTGGGCCGTCAGGAGGCTGAACAGACCGCCAGAAGACAATTTCGAAGGGGCCGGTTTTGGAACCACGCGCGCGGGGAGGGAGGTGGTCCTTGGAACACTTGACAACACCTCAGACAGCAGACGCGCACTCCAACGCGCCGATTCCGTGCAGGCACGGCGGCGGATGTGCTCGTCTCCCCACGGGCGACGCGCGCGCTCCCAGACATCTTAGAGTCTGCGCTCAGTGGCGGGCGCTTGCTGGCCACACCGTTCCGGAAACGATGTACAGCAAGATGAGGGCACTGCGGTGGGGGCGGAAAAGAGGGGGGTGATGACTAGGGGGGGGTGGATATCATGGCGTGGGCCATGATATTTCCCCAGATTTCATGGCGCCTCTTCTTATTTCATTACGTCCCTGGCCCCCCCGCCGGGCCGCGCACATGCCGCCGGTCATGATTTGCACCCCCCCCTCTTGGACACCCCCCTCTTGGCCGCTCCCGATGCGGTGGGGGCGCTGGTTGAGGAGTGTGCCCAGGAGGCTTCGGGCCCTGGAGGGTTCCTGATCTGATGAGGGTGGCGGCGATATCCACGGCCAGGCCTCGATTGGAGTTCCACTGGCCTCTAGACCCTGGATTCCTTTATCTGAGGGTTCTTTATCCAATGCCACCACCGTGTATTCGGACGGGGCTAGGACGAAGCGAAATCTGTTCCAGAGTGTTCCGGAACGCTCTCAGAGCGATCCAGGTACACCTTCAGAGCCACCGGATCTCAGGGACTCGACATATCGTCGCCCGAACTTGTCCTCGTCCTGGCTTCGTCTTATACATGTTCTGGTCGGACGCACGCCTCTGAAAAGGACGCATCGTGCCAGTATGTCCTGGTGCGTCCCACGGACCTCGGGGAAGGGTGTGGTGCGAGAAAATGCTTGCATGCCGGTGCTGTGCACCCCAGTGCCGCTGATCCGATTCGCGCCCGGCTCCCTTCGGACGCAGGCCGATCCGACGCGTATCTCGAGCCGATCCGAGCTCCTGACTCGAACCTGGCTGATCCTGCCTCCGCCAGCGGGCCTTTGTGGAAGGCCACAGCCTCCGCGCCACCCCCTACTCAGACCCCCGACGTCGCGACCTTGTCGCAGCAGCGACCCCGAGAGGATCTCGACCCCTTCACTGGGACCGGTTTTTCCTCCCGACCCGTTTCTGGACGGTCCCGAGGCCCAGCGAGGGCCCCCGGAGGCCGAACGTAGCGAAAACCTCCCCTTGTGTTTTTTTTTTGGTTTCCACAGAACCTCCTGTCGTGTTTTTTTCGCAGCGCGAGGGGGTTTGGGCTTGGCGCGACCGCCGCAGGCTGTCCGAGCGGACGGGCCGCATGCAGGAGTCGGGAGGGGAAAACGCACAGACACAGCTGAATGCCGGCCTCAAGAAACTGCGGGAACACACTGGCAGTGTGGGGGGGGAAGACGACGAGGACAAGCAAAAGTTGGGGGAATTCAGAGGTTTGCGCGCATTCGTCTGCATGCCATCCTGGGCCTCTTCCCAGGAGGCCGAGCAGGAGCTGCAGCGTCTCCAGGCGGAGGCGGCCGAGCAGGAGGCCGCGGCGGCCTCGCGGCGAGAGGGCGCCCAGCAGCGCCGCGACGAGAAGGTCGCCGCGCCGAGGCAGAGGTCCGGCGGCGAGGAGGAGGAGGAGGAGGAGGAGGAGGAGGAGGAG